GGGGTTTCACCATGTTGACCAGGATGGTCTCGATCTCTTGACCTCGTGATCCACCCGCCTCGGCCTCCCAAAGTGCTGGGATTACAGGCTTGAGCCACCACGCCCCCAGGGCTTTAATTTTTAACTAACATTTTATATTCTGGTTACAAAAAGCCTGGTCAGGAATAAAAGCTACCTATAATTCTCATTACTTAGGACAGTTTTTTTTCACCTCTGCGGAGAGGCTGATCATATCCATGGTGGCCATTTGTGGGCCACACAGGTCCCCTTCTGTGTGGTGAACCCTGAGCTGAGCACCTTGCAGACACAATCTCACTTTGTCCTGCAAAGCTGTGTGGGGCAGGCGGGTGGCATTTCCTCCTCGAGCTGTTTTGTACATGAGGAACGCGAGGTGCAGAGGAGGGCACCATGCCATGGCTGCCCCAGAGCCCAGGAAGTTCAGACAGCCACTGACCCAGAGGCAGGACAGAGTGGCCTCAGGAGCTGCTGGCCCTGCATACCATGGTTTTTCCTGTTAGAATGTGCTGAGCCTCTGGGTCTCCAGACTTGGTTGCCATTTCTTGTTGAGCACGAGACCTGGGCCCGTCCTTCTGCCTCAGGGAGGGCTCCTTGTGTCAGGGGTGCTGTGAACTGCGGCCTGGCCTGTTGGGGTCTCCAAGTCAACAAACCCAGGAGTGACTCCAGGCCAGAGCCATGACTTGCTGTTCAGCCTGCGGCAAGTGGCTTCACCTCTCTGAGCCTCTTCACCAAGTAAAATGAGGTTGGGAGCCCCTCCCTGCAGGGCCGTGGGAGCATCTGGAGTCACAGATGAGAAGGACCCTGCCTGTGGCCGGTGGCTGTGGCTGTGACAGACTCGCAGGGAGACCCATGCAGTCCCTGACAATCAGTGTGTTGTGGCTTCTTAAAATGAGATTAAAAACACATTCACTGTCGAGGTACATCTGCCCACACACAGGCGTAGTGACCAGGCGCACACAGGCATGGTGACCAGGCGCACACAGGCATGGTGACCAGGCGCACACAGGCGTAGTGACCAGGCGCACACAGGTGTGGTGACCAGGCAATGGATCCATGGGTGAGTGGTCAGCAGGCAGGTGCCCAGTGCATGTGGCGGCAGCAGCTGCTGCTGCTTCTGTCTGTGGACACTGTTGTTTCTGAAGCCTCTGGGGCCTGGCAGTGGGGTCCCCGGGGCGGCTTTGGTGGAAAGGCTGCAGGTATCTGCTTGGCCCCTGCACTCTGCCCACCTGCCCCAGGATGGACCCTGGAAGCCCCGTCCCCACCAAGTCTATTCTGTTTCCTTTTGCTCTGGTGTTGTCTTCCCAGTGGCGGGAAGCACCCCCTACCCTCCGTCCGGGCTGGGTTGGCTGCTGGGCCCGCGTGTGTGATTCTCAGGTGTGGCCCCAAAGCTGTGTTGCGCCATGGCCAAGGCTGGGTCTGAACCTGGCTTAGAGGTGGCTTCAGAGACCAGGGTGTTCTTTTCAGGCGGCAGCAGGGCCCCGGGCAGTTTCCAGGCCCCAGTGCCAGCGGCCAGGGTGAGGCAGCAGAAGCAAGCGGGGGTGGTGGGTGAGGGCTGAGGTGTGGCAGGGCCATGCTTGGAAGTGGGGCTGAAGCTCCCGCAAAGGCGCACATGTGGCCAGCATGTCTGCACTGGGTGGTCTCGGGGAGCCGTGTCACTCCCAGCCCTGCTGCCTGCTGGTGCCAGAGCGCCAGGTGACCCAGGCAAGTCCCTTCCCTCCTCTGGAGAATCCAGCCTGCTGTCAGGCGCCTGGGGCCAGGGTTCTAGGTTCAGGTCGCTCCACTCCCGGGCAGGCAGGCTCCTGGCATCTCTGATCCTTGTTTCTCCTACCTGTGGAATGGCAGCTGTGCCTTCTTCAAAGGGCAGCCCTGACTAGCTGCATGCCAGCCCCACTGTGCCTGGAGCCCCAGAAATGCTGACCCTCCATTAGTACCAGCTGAGTGCCATGCACCCAGCCATGCTCCTGCAGCCAGCCTGAGAGATGTGGACACGGGTGGGGTGAGGAAGGTGCTCCCCCAGGACTCTGGCCTGCTTGGTGCAGGGGAGGGGAGAGAGCCAGCACTTTTCAGGGGAGAGAGAGAAATGGGCATCACGAATCAGCCTACAGGGTGAGCAGGGCCCAGCAGAGCTAGACTGGAGGGCAGCCTGGGCTGGAGTCTCGGCCTGCTCCACCACCTGCTGCCCTCTCTGAGGGCCTGGCCTTCCTCATCTTGGACATGGTATGAGCCTTGTCCCCCTATCTGCAGCCATGAGGCTCCTGGACAGTGGCTGCTGCAGGTGCTGGACCCCTGCTGGGCCCTTCTCACCCCACACCCCTGTTGGCTAGTTAGCCAGGGTAGTGAGGATACCTCACAGATGGGGAAACTGAGGCCCAGGGAGGCACTCAAGATGTGCCCAGTGGGCAGGGCTGAGATAAGGCCCTGAAGTCCAGCCTCCAGGCCTGGGTCTGTCCTCTCTGTACTCCGTTCAGGGCTGGCGGGCCTCCTTCCCCCTTTGAAGGCCTCAAGTCCTGGCTTGGAGAGAGGGGGCTCCCAGCTCGGGTGATGGCAGAGGCTGGCACTCTTGTAGGCCAGGGCCTGAGTCATTCCTGTCCCCATCTTTGCCCAGCCCGAGGGGAGTGCAGGGATATTGATGACCAAGGGGTAGGCCAGACGGTTCACCTTCTCTCCATTCTAGGAAAGTCCAAGAGGAAGAAGGATCTGAGGATATCCTGCATGTCCAAGCCACCCGCACCCAACCCCACGTGAGTCTGCCTAGTTTCTCCCTGGCTCACTCTAGAGAGGCTTACCGAACGGGGCTCAGTGGCAGGGGTGAGAAGCAGGGGGGGCCCCCGCTGCTTTGCCTTGTCCTGTCCTGGGCAGCACCTGCTGTGGGTCTGGCTATGCATGGCTGCGGGGCACTCCGCAGAGCCATCTGCTCCACTTTGCTCGCTCCTTACTCCATCTTGGAGGCTCTTTGGGCCATGCCCAGCCCACTGTAGACACTCAGCAGCCAATGAGGGAAGGTGGTTCGAGGAGGCGCCTCTGGGACAGGTGCTCAGCAGCCAATGAGAGGAGGTGGTCCGAGGAGGCACCCCTGGGGCAAGTGCTCAGCAGCCAATGAGAGGAGGTGGTTTGAGGAGGCGCGCCCTCTGCTCAGCAGCCAGTAAGAGGAAGTGGTCCGAGGAGGCACCTCTGGGGAAGTGCTCAGCAGCCAATGAGAGGAGACGGTCCAAGGAAGCGCCTCTGGGGCAAGTGCTCAGCAGCCAATAAGAGGAGGTGGTCCAAGGAGGCACCTCTGGGGCAAGTGCTCAGCAGCCAATGAGAGAAGGTGGTCCCAGGAGGCACCTCTGGGGCAAGTGCTCGGCAGCCAATGAGAGGAGGTGGTCCAAGGAGGCGACTCTGCTCAGCAGCGAATAAGAGGAGGTGGTCCAAGGAGGCACCTCTGGGGCAAGTGCTCAGCAGCCAATGAGAGAAGGTGGTCTGAGGAGGCGCCTCTGGGGCAAGTGCTCAGCAGCCAATGAGAGAAGGTGGTCTGAGGAGGCGCCTCTGGGGCAGGATGTACCTCGCCCCACGCCAGTCCCCACGCTGTCCCATCTGCTGCTGCTTCTGGGGAAGGGTATGGTTCTCTCTGAGGGTCACAGAGTCTTCTTTCTCCACAGACCCCCCCGGAACCTGGACTCCCGGACCTTCATCACCATTGGAGACAGAGTAGGTGCCAGCCATCTTCCCGGCAGGGCCTCTTACTTTACTCAATCAGTGGGTAGAGCTGACCCCGCAGGGCCACTCTGGGCAGAGGTGACTGAGGGGTCAGAGAGGGTCAGGCTCTGGAGAAGAGCATCGTCCAGCGCTGCTCGCTGTGTGGCCCTGGCCACCCACTGCCTGACCCTCCTGGTGAGAATGAGGACCATCGGTGGCCTCACTGGAGCTTGGCAAGCTCTGAGCTGGCAGGAAGTGTTCTGAGCTGAGAGCAGGGCCCTGCCCCTGCATCCTAGCCCTGGGGGTGGGTATTGAACATGCAGGCCCCCGGGCAGCCCCAGACCCGCTGGATTATCCCCTCAGGATTATCCCCTCAGGCCTGCAGGAAAACTTGCATTTTATGCCTCCAGAAGCCTTGGAAGGGCACTAGCCATTGAGAATCCTGGCTCAGGGACCGTGCTATGCCCAGGTCCTCCCATCTACTCCCAGGCTAGGTACAGTGGCTCACACCTGTAATCCCAGCACTTTGGGAGGCCGAGGCAGGAGGATCATTTGAACCCAGGAACTTGAAATCAGGCCTGGGCAACATGGCGAAACCCTGTCTGTACAAAAATACAAAAGATTAGTCAGTGTGGTGGCACATGCCTCTGGTCCCAGCTGCTTGAGAGGCTGAGATGGGAGGATCGCGTGAGCCCAGGAGGTTGCAGTGAGCTGTGATCGCGCCACTGCACTCCAGCCTGGGTGACAGTGAGACCCTGTTTCGAAATAAAAAAAGAAACCGCACTCCCTGTCCTTCCCAACGCTCCCTCCAGGCTGTTGCAACCCCTGACCCTCACCACCTGCTGTCTTGTTCATCTATTTGCTTATTTCTTTTTGTGTCCCTCCCAACAGAGGGAAACTTCTGTGAGGGCAAGACTTTGTTGTCGCTGTGTCCCTGGTGCCCAAAACACATTGTGGATGCTTGGTAAACAGTTGTTGAATGAGTGTCTCATTCCAACCAGCTGAGTGAGGTTGGGGAAAGAGGGACAGGGCACCTCTCTCCCAGAACTCTGCCTGTTGGTGGGGCATTTCATGGTGTCTTGGTCACACTCCACAGCTGCTTGAGGTGTTGGCACTGTGCCTGTTTTATAGAGGGCAATGTGAGGCTCAGAGAGGTTAAGTGATGTGCTGAGGGTCACACAGCAGGGAGTGGTGGGTACGAGGTTTGAGCCCAGATCTAACCAGCTGGTACTCTTCACGCTGTTCAGCTATCTCCACTGGGTGAGGGGTGAGGACTGGCTCCCAGCTTGGTGCCCCCTGACTCTCTCTTTTCTGTCCCCCAAGAACTTTGAGGTGGAGGCTGATGACTTGGTGACCATCTCAGAACTGGGGCGTGGAGCCTATGGGGTGGTGGAGAAGGTGCGGCATGCCCAGAGCGGCACCATCATGGCCGTGAAGGTGAGCAGGGCCTGGAGGCAGCTGAGAGGACTCCCTGGAGGAGGCGGGCTGAGCTCTGCCATGGGGCCCTGCCTGTCCCTCTCAGTGACCAGTACCAAGCCCAGACTTTTTGGGGCACGCTGGGCAGTAGTCCCCTGAGCTCCTGGCCCTCCTGTCATGAGTGGGGAGTTGGCCTTGCCACGGCAACCTCTGAACAGCAGCCCTTCTCTGCAGCGGATCCGGGCCACTGTGAACTCACAGGAGCAGAAGCGGCTGCTCATGGACCTGGACATCAACATGCGAACGGTCGACTGCTTCTACACTGTCACCTTCTACGGGGCACTATTCCGAGAGGTGCGTCCTCGCACGGCGCCGGCGGGGTGCTCCACCTGCCACCCATCAGTCACCTGCAACCCACTGCCACTCAGTCCCTTCAGTGTGCCAGGTGCTGCGGACTTGGGGAGCCACCTGGGGCTGGCATAGCTCCCAGGGGCCCCGGCCCTGCCAGGCCACCGGGCTCCCCTGTCTCCTGGATGTTACTTTCTGGTTCGGTGCCTCAGTTTCCTCATCTGTCAGATGAGGCGGGTAGTTGTGGCTGCCTCCTAAAGTTAACAAAGAGGTTAAATGATATGGCCCGGGGCCTGGAATTTGGCTGCACTCCATTCTGCCTGTGTGACCATTTGCATCGCCATGGCATATGGGGTGTGGGGTGCCCGAGGAGGCAGCGGCCATGGAGGTATGCGATCTGGATTCTGGGTTTTGGGTCTGTGGACAGGATGGGGTGTGTGCTGAGAGAGCAACTGAGGCTGGAAGGGTGATGGAGCTGCCTTCCGCCAAGCCGGGTGGGTGTGGGTGAGCAGGGAGGCCAGGAGCCTGGGCGGTGCTGGGCTCATACTGCTCACTTGCCCTCAAGGAGCTGTGGTAAGGTCAGGGTGTCTGAGTCAGGCAATCGGGGCAAGGTCAGGGCGGCCTCACCTGGCCTCACTTTTCACTCATGAAGAGCTCAGCATCCTCTGTGCCAGCTCCTAGCTGCAACCTGCAGGTGTGCCCTGTGCATCTCCCAACCTTCTCATCAGGAGGGTCTGCAGGCATTCACTGGGGAAGAGGGAGCAGGTCTTTGCAGGCAGGATGCCGTCTGCCAGGATCAGCTGGCTCTTGCCATGGAGCTGGTGCAGGTGCATTCTGAAGCTCCAGTGGAGGGACCCGGCGAGGCTGTGTGCTAATCCCTCCTCCCTGGAGACACCTGGAATTAGGGATCAGATGGAGGAGGCTGGCGCCCGAACCTGGCAGTGGGGAGGTGGGGAGAGGGTGGGGAGAAGTGGGCAGAGGCAAGTTGGTGGGGGAGCTGGGAGCTTGGTGAACTGTGGCTCAGTGGGTGGGCACATGTCGAGGAGGGGATGGGGGCTGGTGCTGGGGCAGGCCATGCAGGTGGTGCAGACATGGGCAGCCCAGCAGCCTGGCTGAGCTCTGGGTGTCACCCACAGGGAGACGTGTGGATCTGCATGGAGCTCATGGACACATCCCTGGACAAGTTCTACCGGAAAGTGCTGGAGAAAGGCATGACAATTCCAGAGGACATCCTCGGGGAGATTGCTGTGTCTGTGAGTGGCCCGGTGGGCTGGGGGTCCCAGGTGCATAGGCAGAGGCCCAGCCCTGCCAGCAGACATAGAGCCTGCCTGATGCTGGTGTCTTGGGCAGAGCTGGGCATCAGTGTGCCCCCTGAACCTGGGCAGCGGCCCTATATAGATCCTCCTCCTCTACCCCAGACCAGAGTCTTCCTACTTAGGAGACCTCAGCTTGTGGGGCTCCAGGAGCCCCACGGATCTGGCAGATCTGGGTGTCTGAGCCGTTGAGTCCGACTTGAGTTCCAGACCATTTTTTAAAAAAGGAATTCAGTATTTACAACAGCGTCATAGTAAAAATGCCCTGGGGCAGCTCACAGAGGTATAAGTTAAGTTGGGGAAAAAAGGTTAGCATCCAAAATGTATGCTTTTTGAGTCTAAAAAGTCACTGAGGGAGGGCAGCGACACTGGGCTTGAGCATCCCAGTGGCCAAAGAAACAAGGAAAATAGAACCTGTGACACTGGTTCAATCCTCACGGCATCTGGAAACATTTACAATGTACCCCTGCCTCAGGCGCCCCATCCACCCCTCTCAAGGGAGATGGCTCCAAGCTGCTAGAATACTGGCCCTGCCATGGGAGGGGAGATGGGGTAGGGAAGCAGGCTGCCAAGAAGAGCCTGACAGGCAGTGATGATGTCCCCTGGGAGGTGAGCCCGAGAGGGTGACAGGAGGGAGCAGGCTGAGTGTGTCTGCACCAGGGTTGTTGGGATGCTGGGGAAATGCCAGCACAGGGCAGGAGGCCAGGTGAGGACATGCCTAGCCTGTGCAGCGGGAGCAGGAGGCAGGCGGACGTGGACTGGGTCTTAGTGCTCTGTCGTCGATGTGACCAGGAATAACAGAAGCCCTGTCTCTTCCCTCCTCCCCACCTCACCGCCAGATCGTGCGGGCCCTGGAGCATCTGCACAGCAAGCTGTCGGTGATCCACAGAGGTCAGTGTCCTGCAGCCACCCAGGCATGGTGTGGCCAGCGGGAGGGGTCCTAGGCCAAGGCGGGTGGACGTTTCCCTGTTGCCGTGATGAGCAGCTGAGGCTCAGAGAGGTGATAGGTTGTGACATGCCCGATGGGGTCCCAGCGTCTTTCCACCTGCTCAGGTTTGCTGGTGCTCGGAGCAAGGACTGGCTTGACCTCTGTCCTGGGCAAGGTGGACTGGGTTCTGTTCTGACGTACAGTTTACAAATCGTGAAATTCCAGCAGAGTGCACATGATCACGTTCACACCCGCACAAGCACCTCCCTCCAAGCTCCAGGACGTTTCCCTCACCCAGTCCAGAACATTCCCCTCAGCCAGTCCAGAACGTTCCCTCGGGCCCCTCCCTGCCAACCCCCATGTGCCTAAGGCAGCCGCAAGTCTGGTTTCCCTGCGGCGGGTGGGTTTCACCCTTTCTGGAACATCAGCGTTACCAGCCTGTCTGCTGTGCTCCCGGTTTGTTCCTTTCTGCAGCTGAGCACACGTCTGTTTTTCCAGACTTACTGCTTTTCAGAAAAGGAATTAGTTTCCATTGACCACTGGGTGCTCATCCCAGCCCCCGCCCGTGGGTCACTGTGGTTGACATTTGGCACGGAACCTTCTGTTCCTTTTTCTGTGCATTTCCATCTTTACACACATCCTCATGGAGGGCACGGGGATGCGAGTGTCCTGTGTGCATTTGCGTGGAGAATCCCTGCCGGGCCTGTCGCCTGTGCTGGTCTGTGGGGACTCCAGGTCCAGGCCTGCAGATCCTGTCTCCCAGGCTGTAACTGACCCTGCTGCCCTTTGGGAGCACCCACACAAACCAGGCTCTCACTGGACCTCGCATCTGGAGGGCGGATGCAGGCACAGCGCCCCCAGCAAAGCACCTGGAGTCTTGCCGTCCCCGCAGTGGCTGGGCAGGGCTGGGCACATCCTGGCTGTGCCCTGAGGACCAAGTATAACTGTCAACTGGTCTGGTGCCTCCTGCAGCCTCAGTTCCCTGCCCCGACCCTTGGGACCCTGGTGGAACCTGCCCACCAGAGTATGGGAGGGGGCACAGCAGGGGCCTTGGTTCAGGGAGGGGGTGCAGCTGTGCAGAGCATGACACCTGCCTCCAGTCATGGTCCACAGATGTGGCTGAGTGAGGCATGTCCCACCCTGGCAGATGTGAAGCCCTCCAATGTCCTTATCAACAAGGAGGGCCACGTGAAGATGTGCGACTTTGGCATCAGTGGCTACTTGGTGGACTCTGTGGCCAAGACGATGGATGCTGGCTGCAAGCCCTACATGGCCGTGAGTGGTCCCCGAGTGCCCAGGCTCAGGAGAGGATGGGGCAGGGAGAGACCTGTCCAGATTGGCCACCCTGGCCGTGCCCTCTGTCCGCTGGGCAGAGCCTCCCCACACTGTTTCCTGCCATAGTGGGGCTACCTGTGCCTTACTGTACAGGGGCAGCCCTTCTGTACCCCGTGGTTAACTGCCCCCCATAGTGCCCCAGTCGGGTGGTAAGTTGCATGTACCTCTGTGGAGGAGACTGGTGGGCTATGCAGGTCCTGCCCCACCCCCATTGTCAGGAGGGCCTTAATGGGGCCTGCTCCTGGGTAGGGGCAGCTCAAGGCAAGGAGTAAGCCTTCTAAGCATGACCCAGGCCCTCCTAGCCTCAGTTTCCTCCCCTGTCACATGGGCAGGTGGGCAAAGCTAAGCACTCAGTTTTGGGATGGGGAGGCAGGGCTTGGCCACGGGAGCTTGCCTGGGGTGGGTGTTCACGCCTCACTGCTCCCTCCTGCAGCCCGAGAGGATCAACCCGGAGCTGAACCAGAAGGGCTACAATGTCAAGTCCGACGTCTGGAGCCTGGGCATCACCATGGTACTGTGTGGGGCCAGGGCCTGCCCTTGGTGGTTAGGTGGGGTGGGGTGGGGCCATGCCTGGGGCCCTGAGCTTTTGGGGAACTCATCACATAGTTTAGGTCCTGGAAAAAAGTATTGGCCTCAAAATCTAAGAGGAAAATGTGCCATCAGAAATTACCATTTATTTAAGGGAACATCCTAGGGTCAGGGCTAGCCGCCATGAAGTCCTGGGGACTCTGACACAGTGACCATGCGGCTTCTCCAGAGTTCTTGGTGCTTGTTGAGAAATCACAACCAATCCCAAGTTATGTGATTTGCTGGTATGTAAATCTTGCAAAAGCAAGATGGTAAAAATCTTTTCAAAAATATTTCATAGCAGAAGCTTTGCTGTGAGTGGCATCCTGGTACATTGCTGTGGGGTGGTAGGAAGCGTGGGTGGGCTGACAGTCCTGGGCCTGTGGAGGCCAAAGGCACCTCTGGCTTGGGTAGGGTGAGGGTAGGTGAGGCGGAAGTCCAGGTGTGGGGGTGTTGCCTCTAGAATTGCTCTGGGCAACTGCCCAGAGCAGTTGCCTCTAGAATTGCCTGGCAGAACCCCCATGCCTTCCTTGCTGGGGCTCAGGTCAAGGCGTGGGTGAGCCCACTCTGGCTCCCATGTGGACAGTGGATTGGAGGGCTGTGTCCACCGGGGTGTGTCCCCAACCAGGGCCTAGAAGTTGTACAGGAGATGTGTGGAAGGATGATGCCATCTGCAGGTAGGGTTTAGGCTGGTGGCCTTGGCCAGCTGGGTGGTTTGGGACCAATAGAGTGTCCTGGGCATCAGCTCCTTCCTGCCCAGGGAAGCCTGGCCCAGGGCATTTGCTTGCCCCAGTCCCTTTGACTATTTGGTGTTGGGTATGAGGCCGTCAGACAAAATCAGTAAGATGTAGTAAGATGTAGGGTGTTTTCCAACACCAGCAACCTGTTTTCAGATTCTCCAGACACCCACCCACTGTCCTGCAGCTCTTTTTGGGTCTCATGCTACCTGGAGTTTGCACAGACCCCATAGGTGAGGGCTCTGTTCCCCCAGACTGCCCCCACATCACACACCAGTTGGAAGTAGCAGGCTTCCCATACTACTGACTGACCAGCTACAAACTGGGGGTCCCCAGACCCTCTCCTAAGGTTTGATAATTGCCTAGGATGGCTCACAAAACTCAGGAAAACACTTTACTCGTGTTTACTGGGTTATCAGTAAGGGTATATCTCAGGACCAGCCAGATGGAAGAGACTCCTGGGGGAAAAGGGGTGAGTGTGGGGTGCAGAGCTGCCGTGCCCAGCCGCCCTCCTGGCACCCCTGTGCTTGCCAACCTGCAGGTTCCCCAAGCTCATGGAGTTTTGTTGTTTTTGAGACAGAGTCTCACTTTGTCGCCCAGGCTGGAGTGCAGTGGCACAATCTTGGCTTACTATAACCTCTGCCTCCTAGGTGAAGTGATTCTTATGCCTCAGCCTCCCGAGTAGCTGGGATTACAGGCATCACCATGCCCAGCTAATCTTTGTATTTTTAGTGGAAATGGGGTTTTGCCATGTTGGCCAAGCTGGTCTTGAACTGCTGACCTCAAGTGATCTGCCCACCTTCAGCCTCCCAAAGTGCCGGGATTACAGGCAGGAGCCACTGCGCCCAGCCCCACATGGAGAGTTTTTTTTGAGAGAGTCTCACTCTGTCGCTCAGGTTGGAATGCAGTGGTGTGATCATGGCGCACTGCAGCCTCTAACTCCTAGGCTCCAGCCATCCTCCCACCTCAGTCTCCCGAGTGGAACTACAGGTGTGTGCCCCCACACCCAGCTAGTTTTTTAATGTTTTGTAGAGAAGGGGTCTCACTGTGTTGCCCAGGCTGGTCTTGATTGAACTCCTGGGCTCAAGCAATCTGCCTGCCTCAGCCCCCTGCTGTGTTGGGATTATAGGCCTGAGCTATCACACCCACTGCAAGTTTTTATAGACCACAGTCTCCAGCCCCTCCTCCTCTCAGAGGCTGCCGGGTAAGTGAAAGCTCCTACCCTCTCTAATCACCTGGGCTTCCTGGGGAGCAGCCCCCATCCTGAGGCCGTCTAGGCATCTCACCTTGAGTCACCTCATTCACATAAACTGAAGCTCCTTGTGGATAAGAAAAGCCACCCCTGTCACTCAGGAAATTCCAAGGGTTTTAGGAGCTCTGTTCCAGAAACAAAGACCAAATAAATTTCTTTTTCTGTCCCAGGGGTAGAGAAGAGTGGAGCAGGTGGGGGTGGCTCTGGGGAGACGTGGAAGTTGACTGTAGCAGATGCGGAGGCCTCTGCAAGGAGGGACTCTGCTGACCTGAGGGCACAGTGACCCAGGTGCAGGTGCAAAGGCCCTGAGGTGGGGCTGCGCCCGCCCGCTGTGTACCTGTGTGGCTGGGTCAGTGGAGAGGGAGGGAGGGTTGGGAGCGAGGGCAGAGAGGTGTCTGGTGGGTACAGAGTTGACGCTGGTGTTTTGGGTTTTACTGACATTGCTGCTACCATTGTTACCGTCGTGTGGCTGTCACTTTATTTATGTACTTTTTATTTTTATTTTTTTGAGACGGATTCTCACTCTTGTCATCCAGGCTGGAATGCAGTGGCGTGATCTCAGCTCACTGCAACCTCTGCCTCCTGGGTTCAAGTGATTTTCCTATCTCAGCCTCCTGAGTGACTGAGATTACAGGCTTGTGCCACTATGCCTGACTAATTGTTTTTTTTTTTTTTTTTTTTTTTTTGAGACGGATTCTCACTCTGTCGTCCAGGCTGGAGTGCAATGGCACGATCTCAGCTCGCTGCAGCCTCTGCCTCCTGGGTTCAAATGATTCTTCTGCCTCAGCCACCCCAATGGCTGGGATTATAGGTGTGAGCCACCACATCCAGTTAATTTTTTTTTTTTTTTAAGAGACGGGGTTTCGCCGTGTTGGCCAGGATGGTCTCAAAGTCCTGACCTTAGGTGATCCACCTGCCTCAGCCTCCCAAAGTGCTAGGATTATAAGTGTGAGCCACCACATCGGGCCTTTTTTTTTTTGAGACGTCTCACTCTGTTGACCAGGCTGGAGTACAGTGGCATGATCTCAGCTCATTGCAACCTCTACCTTCCAAGTTCAAGCGATTTTCCTGAGTAACTGGGATTACAGGCGCTGGCCATCATGCCCGGCTAATTTTGTATTTTCAGTAGACTCAGGGTTTCGTTGTGTTGGCCAGGCTGGTCTCGAAACTCTTGACCTCAGGTGATCCACTTGGCTTGGCATCCCAAAGAGTTGGGATTACAGGCGTGAGCCACCAGGCCTGGCCTTGAGCCACTGTGCCCAGCCTGTGGCTGTGACTTTATAAACAGTGTATCTGCAGGCAGTGACTAGGAAAGACTCAAAGTTGAAATAATTTTGTCAGAGAGGTGGGACTGGGCAATGCCTTCAATTTTCTTTAATTGGTGACATGTAATTTTTCTTTTTTTTTTTTTTGAGACGGAGTTTCGCTCGTTACCCAGGCTGGAGTGCAATGCCGCGATCTCGGCTCACCGCAACCTCCGCTCCTGGTTCAGGCAATTCTCCTGCCTCAACCTCCTGAGTAGCTGGGATTACAGGCACGCGCCACCATGCCCAGCTAATGTTTTGTATTTTTAGTAGAGACGGGGTTTCACCATGTTGACCAGGATGGTCTTGATCTCTTGACCTCGTGATCCACCCGCCTCGGCCTCCCAAAGTGCTGGGATTACAGGCTTGAGCCACCGCGCCCGCCCAATTTTTCTTTTTTTTTTGAGACAGAGTTTCGTTCTTGTTGCCCAGGATGGAGTGCAATGGTGCTATCTCGCCGCACTGCAACCTCTGCCTCCTGGGTTCAAGCGATTCTCCTGCTTCAGCCTCCCGAGTAGCTGGGATTACAGGCATGCGCCACCTTGCCCAGGTAATTTTGTATTTTTACTAGAGACAAGGTTTCTCTATGTTGGTCAGGCTGGACTCAAACTCCTGGCCTCAGGTGATGCGTACCCCTCGGCCTCCCAAAGTGCTGGGGTTACAGGTGTGAGCCACTGCGCCCGGCCTGGTGACATGTAATTTTTCAATTAAACTTTTTTTTTTTTTTTTTAGGTGGAGAGGAATATTCTTTGAATATAACAGTTTTCCAAGTTCTAAGTTAGCTGAAAAGGACAAGTTCTTGCTGTATTTAGACTGCACAGAACTGGTTGGAAATTAGAGTCCCCACTAATGACCACCTCACATATACACACACACTTATGTACCTTCCCCACCTCCCTGTCTCCCTTCTACCTGTCTGTCCATCAACACTGTTGGGTCCAACATGGCTAGTGACCTTCTGATGTGGCTGGTGGAACTTGGGCAAGTATGTGCTAAGTGCCTATTTCGGTTATCAAGTGTTACATAGCAAACCACCGCAGAACCTAGTGACCCAAACCAACAGCAGTTTCTGATTTCTCATGTTTCAGCCGTTGTGGCTAGGCTCAGCTGGATGGCTCTTCTGCTGTACCTGGCACTGGGTGGGCTGGGCTGGAAGGCCCAAGACGGCCTCCTCTGCGTGGCCTGGGCCTCCTCTGCGTGGCCTCTCCATGCCACTTCCTCACACTGGCCTGCTCCGTGGGCTTCAGAGCGTGGCAGTGTCAGCATACTTGGAGTCCTTTCATGGTGGCGGGCATCCAGAAGGAATGTCCTCTGAAGTGCTAGGCCTGGAACTGGTACAGCATTGCTTCTGCCTTATTGTGTCAGTCAGCCAGTCACAGGCCAGCCCAGGTTCAAGGGCAGGGAATGTTTCCAGCTTGATGGAGGATCGGCAGGTGCACCCAGGGAGAGGCGGAGGCGGCCACTTTAGGCACGCGTTAGGTTTTTCTGCCACAAGTTACCAAAGTAGTGGAAAGCTAACATAAAAATACAAAGGCAAAGTAAGGGGAAAATGACTGTAGTTATTCTGCCTAGAGACACTTCTTACCCCGTTTCAATGCCAACATTGTGCGCTATAGCATAAATATCGTATTTTTATTTTATTATATATAATAAAAATATATTTTATTATAATTTAGAGAAATATGGACAATATGTAATGCCTCTTTTTAAAAAACATATTTTATTTTGTAGCATTACATATTGTTCATGTTTCTCTAAATTATAACAGACCCGTGTATATATCCCTTCCAAAGACTCCATAACCATTGGCCCTGCACTCACCCTGTCTGCTGATGTGGGGTGTTTCCCTTGTTCCTGATGTTTTCCTTCCTTTTGAAACTCTCCGCCATCCTGGGGGAGTGGCTGGTGAAACAGTCGGGAGAGTCTCCTGGGCGGGGTCCCGGTCTCGGCCTCCCCCAATCCCGCAAGGGCCCCAGAGCCCTCTTGGTGTTGGCTTTTTCCCCCTCGCTGCACAAGCCTCAGGACGCCAGTGCCAATCACCCAGAACAGGGAGGGGTCGTGCCAGGGCGGGAGTGAGTGCTGACCCAGCGCTGGCCCTTAAGCGTTGTCGCTGGGGAGTCACAGGGGTGCGTCTGCAGTCCTGGCTGGATCTCAGTCCCATGGTGGGGCCGGCCCCTGGCGCTGGACATTCAGGCTGCTTCTAAACATCTGGCAGATGACACCATATGGCACATCTTTGCGCCTGGAGGCTTTTTTTGTTGTTTTTCATCTTTTTAGCTCTATAGAAAAATGAAAGGAGTACGAGGCTGAGGGTTTGGACACTTCTGCTTTTCCAGTTAAGAAACTGTCATGGCTGCGGGTCCTTCTCCTCTAGCTCCTATGGGCTCCTTGTTCTACGGATTAGAGTCACTGAAAGTTTTAAGAGAAAAACTCCCTGAATTGGTACGGTTTTGTCCCTCGAATACGCGTGCACACATACACACATGCGCAGTGGGCCGTGCATGTGTGTGTGTCTGGGCTGGAAAGGGCCTCTAGCCTGATGGGAGGCATGTTCTCAGCACAGTCCTTAGGGTCCTGTCCGGGCTCCAGTTGCCAGTGCCAGGTGTTTGTGCTGAGGTCTTCTCCGTCCATCTTGGGATGATGACCGTCAGCAAGGGGCCTCATGCTGGAGCCTCAGAATTCTCTGTTCTCCCAGGCCGGGGCCAGGGCTGACATGACTTGTTTTTTCCATCCAGTCATCATGGTCGGAGCCCAGAGTTGGTTGTACGCTAGCTCGCCCGTCCCTTCCATGATGACTTCCTGCTGACCACAGGCAGGGCACAGGGCTGGGAGTTTGGAGCGAGTACAGAGACCCATCAGCTTGATGTCACCCACAGGAAGTCCGGTTCCAGCAGGGCACATATGGCCACACAGGCCCCCTGTCTAGGCGGGAAACAGTGCCAGGGCCCTGCGGAACATGAGCCTGCAGGCTCCGGCTCCCCGCCAGCCTGCGGGTGCAGAGGCGAAGCAGCCTCGTGGTCTCACACTCTGTCCATGGCCTTGGGGAGAGCCGTGTGTGTGTGTTTGTGTCACTTCTCGTGTGCTTTCGCTGTGAAAACAGCAGCCCAAATAAATGTTGGCAGATGCTGAAGTCCAAGATGTCCAGATGTTAGGGAGGGGAGTGGCTGTGACCACTGGGACCTGCCCACCTGCTGCAGCCCGAGGTTACCAGCTCCTCAGATTTTTCCAGAGCAGCTGGAACCTGCATCATTTTGTAAAATCTTCAGAATTCAGGTTGTTTGAAAACCCAACGATGGTCTCACCAGTCCTGGCATGCGCTGGATCTGCTTTCTGAACTGGATCCTGCTGGCTGGGTCGGGGGAGCTAAGAGTTGCCATCCCTGGCTTTCACCTTTGCTCTGCTGGGATGTGGTAGGGAGATCAGCTGTGCAGACTTGAGGCCTCGCTCTGGTGCCAGGGTGGGCAAGAGCCCCCAACCCTGGCTCCTGGGTGCAGAACGTGGGTGTATCTGGGTCCAGGGCCTCTGACACCCCTGTCCCTGCTGCAGATTGAGATGGCCATCCTACGATTCCCTTACGAGTCCTGGGGGACCCCGTTTCAGCAGCTGAAGCAGGTGGTGGAGGAGCCGTCCCCCCAGCTCCCAGCTGACCGTTTCTCCCCCGAGTTTGTGGACTTCACTGCGCAGTGGTGAGTACGGGGTGTGCTGAGCACCTATTGGTGCCCTCCCTGGCCCGATCCCAGCATCTTCCTGGGCCCTGTTCCTTTTTCGTTTAGCAGATAACCCCCCAGATAACACGGCATCAAACTATGTAAGGCAGAAACAGCTGGAGCGTGAGGAGCGTTGGACAGAACTATGGTCCTGGTGGGAGGTTTTAATGCAGTTCTTCCAGAAGTGACAGATCAGATAGGCTGAAAAAGAGAAAAAAGTATATGGAAGATTTGAACACAGAAAACAAGTTTGCTTTTAATGATAGCTAGAACTTTTGAACCGAATTAAAGGATGCCCCACGGGAGCCTTATAAAAATCATGTTTGAGATTACAGAGGGAATAAGGAAAAGGGCAAAGTCATACAGACCAGCTGCTCTGACCGTCATTAAATAGAGCAAGAACTTGGTAAGGAAGAAGCGGCCGGGTACCGTGGCTCACACCCAGGGTCCCGGTGTTTGTTGTTGACCGTCATCAGCAACAGAGGAGCCCAGCAGAGTCCCTGGGCAGTCTGGCCCCTTTAATTGGGGACTGACCTCTCCCAGGACCCATGCTAAGGAGTTTTCTCTCCTGATTGAGGATACCAAGCATATGATTGTGAGGCGGAGCATTGGAGAGTCCTGTTTTGGTGTTGATATGGAAATTCCTGGGTCACTAAGGAGACAAGAAAACCAGGACCCCAAGAGTCAGAGAAACTTGCTGCAAGCCTCTAGTTTGCCCCTGTGAATGCCCCTCCACCCTGGGAGAAACCCTGGATGGTCCTGTCCCTTCTTCCCTGGGCGCACGTGTCCCCAAGGCCTGGGGCAATCCTGGGGTGGCTTGGCTGGCCTTTGGGGGCTGGGCTTCCTTCCTCCTTGCCAGCCTGGCTATGCACTGTTCTCTCCTAGCCTGAGGAAGAACCCCGCAGAGCGGATGAGCTACCTGGAGCTGATGGTGAGTGTGGGCGGGAGGTGCCTGCCCTGCTCTTCAGGGCTGGCTGGTGGCTGGGTGGGCTCAGGAGAGGGCTGCGTCCTGCACACAGATGGGCAGCTCCTCTGGCCCCACGTTGACTCCTTTAGGTGCTCATTCATTTGTTTGCTTCTGCATACCTGGCTTCCTCCTCCCTCCTTCCTTCACGCCAGGCTCTGGGAAGGGTGCACAGGCAGTGTGTGACAGAATGGGGCAGAGGGGCCAAGGGTGGCATCAGGGAAGGCTTCATGGAGGAGGTACCATTTGAACTGAGCCTGGAAGGATGAATAAGGGTTATCTGCTGATGGAGAGGCTGTCCCAAGCAGAAGGTCCAGCATGGGCAGAGGCCTGATGTGTGGGGGAAAGGGAGGTTAGTGTGGCTGGAGAGTGATCACAAGAGAGCTGAGGAGGAGCCATGAACACCATCTGTGACAGTCATGGGGGACCTCCTGGGGGTGGAGGTCCTAGAAGGATGAGTAGGCTTTTGCCAGGCAGGAGGAACACTTGGGCTGGGGCTGGTTAGGGAGGAGTGGGCACCTCCCCCTCCCACTCCCCCTCCATGGTGAGTGTGCCTTCTGTCACCCCCAGGTGCACCCCTTCTTCACTTTGCACAAAACCAAGAAGACGGACATTGCTGCCTTCGTGAAGGAGATCCTGGGCGAAGACTCATAGGGCCTGGGCCTTGGACCCCACTCTGGCCCTCCCGAGCCCCACGGCCCCATCTGCAGGGGCAGTGCTCACCCGCACCATAAGCTACTGCCATCCCGGCCCAGGGCATCCAGGAGGAACCGAGAGGGCTGCTCCCACTTGGCTCTGCAGCCAGCCATTTGTCCCAAGTGCCAAAGAAGCGGACCACCGGGACCTCCAGCCAGGCCCTTATCGGCCCCGAAGTGCCTCTCTCTCCCTGCTGCTCTGAGGACTGTCTCCAGTTGCTGAGACCCTGGACTGCCGGGGCCTGGACGCCCCTTTGTATGCTGCTGCCCCTTGCACAGCAGGTGCCTTGATGCCTGGATGCCACCCAAGTTGTATATTTTTTTATTCTCTTGACTGAATGGACTTTGCACACTTTGGCCCAGGGTGGTCACACCTCTATCCCGGCTTTGGTGCGGGGTCCACAAGTGGGGATGAGCTATGTGAATCCCCCAAGAATCCCATGGGGGAGATGCCATGAGCCGCCCAAGGCCTTCCCCTGGCACGGGCGAACAGGGCCTCTTCGGGGCACACTGGGTCACCCAGTCCTGCCCGCCACCTTTATTGGTGTCATTTCACCTTTTCGTTTTTTTTTAATTTATCCTCTGTTGATTTTTTTCTTTTGCTTTCTGGGTTTGGCTTGTTTTTCTTGCATGGTTTGGAGCTGATCACTTCTCCCCCATCCCCTAAGGCACCAGCAGGCAGAGCCTCACCCTCTGCTCTGGCTGGGATCTAGTGGGAGGGGCCCAAGTCTCTGCTCAGAGAAGTGCAGGGGGAGCCTTCCAGCTCACTCTCCTTGAGGACTGGCTCCACAGGGGCTATGGATTTGCTTTGGTGGTGTTTTAAAAAAAGAAAATATATTTTTTTGAAAAAAGGACTGCCCATCCTGGGTCCTTTCCTGATGGGTTGGGGCAGGTACCTGGTTGCTGTTTTAATTAAAAAAAGAAAACGGCTAAAGGTTGTGTGAGACTGTATGACACCTGTGAGCCCCCCTCTTACTCGGGGAAGGTTGTGGTACCTTGAGGGACCCTTGCCTCTGGGCTTGGGCCAGGGTGGCGTGCTCAGGGGAGGGAGGGCTGCCGACCTACCAGGCCCTCCTACATCTGAGGACACAGAGGCCTCCAGAGGGCTGTGACAAGGTGACATCCTGTGACCATCCAGGCACCAGGCCCTGTACTGACGCTGGAAAGAGCAGCGAACACGCAGGCCCAGTCCCCTGGTGGCGGCCACCCATCCCACTGTCCTGGAGCAGTGGTGACAGCCAGGTGCACAGAGTGGCGAGCACCCCAGGCACTGTGCCTCAGCTGGACACGCGGCCTCATGGAGGTTACATGACCTCCAATTTACAGATGGGAAAAAAGACCCCGAGAGCTGATATCACTTGCCCAAAGCCATACAGCTTATAAGACAGAAAAACAGACTAGGGGACAGGTGGTGGGCTCCGGAGAAGGCTCCTAGGGAAGTGGGGACAGCTTGATGAAGGTGCCCATGCAGGGTCCCCTCTGGCCCCGTGACACTAGCAGCATGACCAGGCAGCAGGGAATTTGTTCACGTAAGTGGGGTGTGCTTGGCTTTGGTACCTTTGGATTTGGAAGTTCAGCTGATGGCCTGAGGGACTTGGGTCCACCTTGGTTGTTCATCAGTCTCAGTTCACCTGCGCATGGGGACCAGTCAGGACCCAGGGACTCCAAAAGCTTGGCATACCGGACCCAGCATACCCCCAGATCCCAGTGCTGGTCTTACCAGCTGGGAAGGAGTCGAATTCATCCCAATGCTGGGAGGATGGGTGTGATGGCCCAGGTCAGGTCAGGTATGAGGGGACTAAGCCTACCTTGAGGGGGCTCAAGGTCCAAGAGCAGAGCCTCTGTGGTCCTCTGAGGAAGCTTAGGGTGTGTTTCCAGGAGGAGGGTCCCCATGGGGTCTGTCTCTCCACTCCTCCTGTCCTCCAGCCCCGGTCTGGGATAGGCCTCTGCCCACTAACCCTTCCCTGGCACAGGGACTAGCAGTTCCTGGGAGCTGTTGTCTTCCTCCCTCCATCCTTCAATCATGAAGGCTTGTTCTCACCCCAGGGCCTTTGCACTGACTGTCCCCTCTGCCTAGAACACTCCCTCCCCTGGCTTTTTATGGCAGCCACCCCCCCATCCCTGTCTCCCATGTCACCTCCTCAGGGAAGTCTTCCAGGACCACGCTGGCTCAAATAGCCTCTGCCTACCAGGCCCAGCCAATCTAGCGCATTATCCCGCGCTATCCAGGCAGACCTGACTTGTCGTTGTGTCGTCAGCGCTGAGGATGCTGCCGACACCGAGAGATCCCTCCGCTTCTGCTGAATGAACATATGAAAGAATGACGGAGGGAGGGAGGAAGGAAGGGAATGAATCCCTTGCCCGGGCGACAGCGGGGCCACCCACCCGGGTCGCGGGGCGCGGCCCCAGGCGCTATTTCCTGCAGCCGCCAGGGGGCGGTAGAGCTCGGCTTCGGCCGCGTGTCCTGGAGCCCCGCCCGGACCCGAGCGCCGGTCCGCGTCCTCGGGAGCGCGGGACCAACACGTGGCTGGGGTCCGCAGGTTTGCCACCCGTCAGCCCAGTTCTCGGTCTCCGCGGCCTGCGTGCCCGTGTGCACCCCCCGGCCCAGCACTCGGGGCTTCCAGGGGCTCTGCAGTCTGCGGAGCGCAGCGGACCCCACGCCTAGCGGTTTACCGTGCGCGCCCCTGCGGATGACCCAGCGCCCCGCAGCTCACCGCGCCCCTCGCTGCTCGCAGGCCTGGCCGGACGCCGCAGCCCTTCGCAGAGAGCCGGCCCCTCCGCACGACTGCCGCCCGGGTGGTGTCCAGTTCCCTTGCAGTTTATGGGACCCTTTGGCTTCTACAGAGCGTGTCCAACCATCAGAGTGGGGAAGCCGGTGTGCAGATAGGTGACATCTACGATGCCCAGGCCCTGACAGTTTATACTACCCACGACCTCCGTGGTGGTCCCAAGCGGCGGGGCCCCTCTCCCATGTTCCCTGGCCCTGAGGTGCAGGAATGGAAATGGGGAGCGGCCCGACCTCCTCCCCCCCCCCGCCCCCCGGAGGCCAGACGCCCGCATTTCCTGTCAGGCAGCAGGGGCCGGGCAGGCGCCCCTTCCAGTCCGGGGATTAATGAGTCTCTGGACCGGGAGATGGCAGAGGCATGTGGACTTTCCAATTACAGCCGTGAGAGCCTCCTCATCAGGCAGCATTAAAAATGCAGCAGACAGGCCGGGCGCGTTGGCTCACGCCTGTAATCCCAGCACTTGGGAGGCTGAGGCAGGTGGATCACCTAACATCGGGAGTTCGAGACCAGCCTCGCCAACATGGTGAAAGTCTGTCTCTACTAAAAAAATACCAAACTTAGACGGGCGTGGTGGCGCACGTCTGTAATCCCAGCTATTCGGGAGGCTGAGACAAGAGAATCGCTTGAACCCTGGAGGCGGAGGTTGCAGTAAGCTAAGATGATGCCCCTGCACTCCAGCCTGGATGACAAGAGTAAGATTCCATCTGGAAAAAAAAAAAAAAAAAGTCCAGGCGTGGTGGCTCACGCCTGTAATCTCAACACTTTAGGAGGCTCAGGCAGATGGATCCAGCCTGGGCAATATGGTGAAACCCCATCTCTACTAAAAGTACAAAAATTAGCCTTGGTGGCGCTCACCTGTAGTCCCAGCTACTCGGGAGGCTGAGGCAGAAGAATAGCTTGAACCTGGGAGGCTTGCTATGGAGGTTGCAGTGAGCTGAGATCATGCCACTGCACTCCAGCCTGGGCGACAGAGCAAGACTCCGTCTCAAAAAAAAAGAAAAAGAAAAAGAAAAATACAGCAGACAGGCCTGCTCAGGATCAGGGAGGCTGTGGAGGGAGGATTTGGTGAATTCCCTTCTAGAGGCCAGGGCGGGAAGCCTCTCCTCCGCTCAGATCCCTGCTGTGGCTCCAGCCTTTGGTGGGGGCCTCCTGATGGTCCACGATGCCTCACCCCATGCCTGCCCACACCTCCTCTGTACCCTGTGCCTCGCTCCCTGCACTTTACCTGGAGCCTGGCGGCAGGGCCTCTGGACTGGCTGTCCCATTCTCCACCCGGAGTGCTCTTCCCCAGATGTGCCACCGCTCAGGGGTCTGCTCAGATGCCACTTCAGAGAGGCCTCCCTGACCACCCTCACCCTACTGCACATTCTTTATTTTTTATTTTGTTTGAGATGAAGTCTTGCTCTGTTGCCCAGGCTGGGCTGGAGTAACTCACTGCAATTTCCACTTCCCGGGTTCAAGCAATTCTCCTGCCTTAGCCTCCTGAGTAGGTGGGATTACAGGCATGCGCCACCACACCTGGCTAATTTTTTTTGTATTTTTAGTAGAGACGGGGTCTCACCACATTGGCCAGACTGGTCTCAAACTCCTTACCTTATGATCCACCTGCCTTGGCCTCCCAAAGTGCTGGGATTACAGGCATGAGCCACTGCGCCCAGCCTGCACTTTCTTCACATTTATCTATTTTCATTCTTGTCCACTGACTGCCTCCCCCACAAGACCAGGAGGAGCCATCCTTGCTCACAGGAGACAGGGCCGGTGCAGGAAGGCTGCCCCAAGGCCCAGTGCAGCCAGCAGGCAGCAGGGCTGTTCAGGAGGTGATCTGGTGGCGGTGCTGCCATTCTGTGTATTCCGGGGATCTGCCCCGGGAAGGCTCTCCAGGAGTGAGCCGATCCCCACATGGTGCTGGCTGAGGACTCTGCACCTCAGAGAAGGGAAGGCAGGAGCTGCAGGCCAGATGCTGTGAGGGTGAGCGCTCGGCCGTGATCCTGCTCCCAAGTCCTTGGGCTGAGCTCAGTTTCTGAGGACAGAGCCCCAGGAGGCCTGTGCTGCTTGCCTGGCCACTCAGGCTCCAGCAGCCCTGGAACTGTGGTCAAGTTCCTCTCCTCCCAGGGAAGGGGCAGGGGCCAGCAGGATTGAGTGTGCCCCCCAAGCTGCTGTGATGGGAGGTGGGGCCTCACAGCAGGATTAGGTCCTGGGGGCCCACCCTCCTGAATGGATGAGTGCTGCCAGCCTCCTCCCAGTGGGTTATTATAACCCGAGGCGTGGGTTATAACCCTCCGGCACTCTCTTGCCCTTCCACCTTCCTTCTGCCACAGGCGGACACAGCACGAAGGCCTTGTCGGATGCTGGCCCTGGATCTTGATTTCCCAGCTTCCAGAACCATGAGGAATTTCTGTTGTTTAGAAATTACCCAGTCTGGGCTGGGCGCGTGGCTCGCACTTGCAATTCCAGCACTTTGGGAGGCCAAGGTGCTCGAGACCAGCTGGGGCAACATAGCGACACCCCATCTCTACAAAAAAGCCACGTGTGGTCGTGCGTGTCTGTAGTCCCAACTACACCTGGAGCTGAAGTGGGAGGATTGTTTGAGCCCAGGAGTTCGAGGCTGCAGTGAGTGGTGATCACCCTGCACTCCAGCCTGGGTGTCAGATCGAGACTCTGTCTCGATTTAAAAAAAGAAAAAAGAAGAAGGAATCACCTAGCTTGTGGTACTTTGTTATAGCAACAACGAAACTGATGAAGACAGGTCCCCAACACCAGCATTATCTCATCCTGGCTTCTTGTGGAGAGGGGCCATGGTGGGCAGGCAGGACCAGCCACCTCATCCTCCAGTATGGGCTTCACATCTGACCACACCTCTCCCTGATGGACCAGTCCCCTCAACCATAGCCCCACCAGGGCCTGCTGGCCTCTGCTTGCATAGCCACTCTGATGGGGAGCTCACTCTCATACACATGCGATTCCTGGAGGGATCTGGGTTCTATCTTCTTATCCCTGTTCTAGTCCCCCAGGCCTGTGACGTGAGGGCCCCATGTGTAAACCTTGGCTCGCTGTCAATGCTCATTTCTTCGCCTCTTGTGAAAGCTGTTGCAAATCCTTTTGGAAACCAGGTGGGAGGGTCTATATATACATCGGCTGTACTATGTTT